GAAGGAAGGAAGGAAGGAAGGAAGGAAGGAAGGAAGGAAGGAAGGAAGGAAGGAAGATGTGCACCAAAAATTATAGAATTATAGAATAATGGAGTTGGAAGGGGTCTCTATGGCCAATGAGCCCAACCCTCAATCCAAGCCAAAGCAGATCTGAACAGAGGGTTATCCAATTATCTCCACCTCCAGAAGTCACTGGCTCCGTTGTTGTACTGCTCTAACAGTTAAGAACTTTCCCTGTTATTCAGCCTAAATCTGGTTTCCTGTAGCTTGAGCCCATCCTAACATGTTCTGCACTCTGGGATGACTGAGAACAGATCCTGCCCCTCCTCTGTAGGGCAGCCTTTCAAGTGTTTTTTATAAAGCCCACTTTCAAATTGATTTTTAAAAAATGAAGGCCAGATGGAATAAGACAGGTCTGACCACTCACTGAAAACTCAGCCAGGACAGACACAGCCGGAGAGTCGTTCACCGAGGTTCTGCTCTCCTCTTGGGATGGCCGGACGCACAGCAGGGCCTCTGCAGGAGATCTCAAATTCCAGGCATTTGAACTCAACCTTTTTTTTTACATGGGAAGTGGGTTATATGCCTTTGGTTCACCTACCCCAGTATTTCCAACGCTGACCAGCAGCCACGACTCCTGAGTGCCTCAGCTTTTCCTGTCCGGAGATCCCTGGTGTCATCTCTCCAATTACTATCCACGCTGGGTTAGCTTTGACAAGCTGCGTTCCTAGTGGGTTCAAAATTACCTGGGAAGCTGATTGAGAACAGACTCTGCCCTTCCTCTGTCTTTTCTGAAGGCTAAACATGCTGAGTTCTTTCTGCCTTTCCTCCTGAAGCTTGGTTTCTAGCCCCGTGATCATCCTCCTTGTCGCCCTCCTCTGAACTTGTTCCAATTTGTCATCATCCTTCTTCAAGTGTGATGTCCAGAACTGGACACAGGACTCAAGGCGAGGCCTAACCAGTGCTGAATAGGGACTTGTTTGCTACCCATCTGTTCCCCATATAAGGACTAAGTGTCATATGTTTCCCCCCCCTCCATCTTCTGCCCCCCCCCAGAATGGGGCCACCCGAATTAAGCTAGATAGACCTCCGGCTTAATCCGACAGGGGTCTTCTGACGGTGGGAATTACCAGCCAGTCTCTTGTTCCACACTTACTGGTGTAGAAGCACAACTGCGGAAATTGCCATTGCCATCTGCGCTATTTCTGTCTGCTTTGCTATATGAGACTTCTCGAGAGCAAAGGGGTTTACAAAGCTGCAGCATCTTCCCTTAGGTTGGTCATCTGAAGGAACCACAGACCCTTAAGTACCTTTTGTTATTTAGGCTGGCCCAGCTAGAAATAGATACCTTAGTGATTGTTCAAGAGAAACCTCCCTCCCTCCTACTAACATATTGCACAATGGAAAAATAGACCAGTTTTAAAATATCTATCAATTTCAAAGCAAGCTGGCTTTTAATTTTTTTATTTTTAAAAAAGCATATCTTTATAGAGAGATGATAAACTTCATTCTCCTTTGCAATTCTTTAACACCCTTATGCTTTTTCTTTTCTTGGACCCCGTGGTACTTCCTAGACTTCACCAGAAATAGTCGAAAAGAGGAGAAATCCAAGGCATTCGCTTCAGTAGCATCTCGCCTGCAACCAGATGCGCTCTGTTTCGCAGTCCCTAAAGAGGGCTCCGAGTTCAAGTCTAGCCCATCCTCCCCTTAAAAAACAAAAAATTCAGCTGGCTCCCAAGCAACTGGGAAGGGAAGCCAGGAGAGGCTTCCCAAATATTCTGGGATGGCAGCGATGTCTGGAGAGGACCCAGAGGCAGCATCTTTGACCCAGCCCCTCCCACCTGAAGGAGGTGGGAGGGGCTCCTCAAGGGGGTGGGTGAGGGGGGGGTGGCCTTCCCAGCCATCCGGTGGATGGCCTGGGGGTCACGTGACGGGGGCAGCCGGCCAGTGGGGCCGCCGTTTCTCTCTCTTCCCAAACTTCTACATAACTTCCCTAAGCGTCAGAGAGGGAAAGTTGATTTAAGTTCCTCTCTCTCCAAATCCTGCCTCCTTCCTTCCCTCTCATTTTTACAGGAAGCCTGAGAGGGAGAGAGACGCTTTTCATAAAACTCTGTTGAAGGCACCCATTCACAACAGGGGCAAGGGGGAGGGGGGGACACACACACAAAGGACATCCCCGCAGCAGTTTGTTTGGGGAGAAAATCAGCATCCTCATGACCAACGTCTCCTTTTAAAAAGTCCTCCCCGCGTGTTGATCGGAGACCTCCCCAAGGATGGCCATCATCCTTCCCCCACTCCGGACGCGTTGGACTGCCAGACCTATCCTCCCCAGAGCCCCTGGGCCTTCGGGGATGATGGTCCAGGCGAGGGAGAGGGCGCTGGGGATGAGGAGCGCCAGGATGCTCCCGCCAAAGGGAGGGAGGGTCCGCTGGATGCCCCCCTGAATCCATATTGCAGGGAATAAAGGACATTAAAACCATCTCTGCGGTCTCGTCCTCCTCGCTTTCTGCCCGTTGGGATCCACCCTCGCTGGCAACGCACCTACGGCTGAGTAAAGAGGCTGCAATACTAGCCCGCTGCTCGGGGGAGTTTTCGTGGCCATCGTTGGGTCCTGCGCGGGCTTCTGGTTGCCACGCGGCGATCCGACGCCCGCTGCCTTGGGGCGCCACCCTCCGCAGAACACGGGGCTGTAGGCTTACTTCCGAGTAGGCCGATGGGGGGGAATCGGAGCACATCTCTTTCATGCAGTTGAAGTTCCCCACCCGATCCGCCAAGGTTTCTCCACCACCACCGTGCGCCCCCCTTGCTTGGTAAGCGAGCAAGCTTTAACGGGGCTTACTTCCGAGTAGATGTGCATTCACACACACACACACACGTATCCCTCTTGCGTCCCCATCAACTCACTGTCACGATGAACCCCACCTCCGAATGGTCTGCCTACATCCTTGAGCTATAGAGGGACGGAGCCCCAGGGCTTACTTCCGAGTATACCCGGGCGCGATCGGGACCCGATCCGAAGACGGAGCCGAAGCTGAGCGTGGATCCCGACGCCCGAGGGGGCAAAAAAAAAACCCCACCCACCTAGGTTGCTGGGGAATGAGCTGACCCCGCCTGAAATTGACCAGCCTTTCCAAAGGCTGGTCAGTTTCACCGTCCGCAGCCAAGAAGCCGGGGCGACCCGGGGATGCGGTCGGGGCCCAAGGCAGGGCTTTAGGATCGCGACCGGGCGCGCCGGCAGAGCGCGAGAGGGGAGGCCGGCCGAGGCTTTGCGCTTCCCCGTTGGCTCGGCGAGGCGAAGCTGCAAAACGCCTCGTGGAGACCTAGCGGGATCTTACTCGCTTCCTTTATTTA